ACTGACATCCTTTTAAAATGAGGTCAGCAATTATGTTTGTAAAATGGTAATTGCAGAAAATTAAAACAATCATTAGAAATACAATGAAATGAGGACAGACAATCAAAAACTACAATTAAAAATACTTAATGTATGTGCCGAGCATAATTATACAGTCAGCTGGAATAAACATTTGACTGAAACCCTTTTTATTTTGTTTATAAGATAATTTTTTAAATAGTACATAATGACTGAATGATTACAACATTACACAGAAAGGCATTCCAAAACTCAAAATATTTGGAAGTCAGTACGTGTTCACAGAAAAAGAATGTGCAAATTTTTGCATCCTGTGTCAAGAGCTTTGTGACTTAGATATTCAAAGAAATTTTTCAGATTTTTTTTTTAATAATTTCACCCCAAGCAAGATGGAGAGTGAAAGAGAATCAGAAGAATTTAGTAAAAAGTAAGGAAATGACAATAAATGAATAAACAGAAGATGTCAATTAATGTTGCACTTAAAATATTGAAGATTGTAGGTGACAGGGAAGTAAGAAATCATGAGAGAGTTCCACAGGTGGGAATGCAAGAAAAAACTGTTACAATAGAAGTGGCATTTGCATCTAGCTAGTTCATCAGTCAAATGGTGATACCTACTTGCCAATTCAGTAGCATACTTAAATTCTTGTAGTCAAGGTGTTAAGGAACAAAAACTCATCTGAACATTTACTATGAAAATATTTGTAACAAAAATTGAGGAAAGCCATGTCAGATTTATGACAACAGTCTACTATTTCATTGGTCAGATGTAAGATGTATTTATTTCTCTGTACCATGTCTCTTCAACAAATGGACAATCATGGCTGTCCACAACTTCCTATCCTTTGTAGCTCTTAGCAATTTTTATCTTTTTACTATCCCTACTATTCCCTGTTCTGCTAGCCATTTAGCTTTGGAGGTAGGTTAATCACAGCTTTTCACTGTCCTTCTTACCTTTCATACATCCTGTGAGTGTCAAATTTGCAAGGCCTTCTTTTTTTATCATGTGTTCCAGAAATTTCAACTGCAGATGAAGTTTCACAAGCCTCTCACTACTCTTTCGCTACTTCTATGGAAGATGCTCTACATTCTTTAGTTTCACCAGCCTTGACCTTCACAGTTAAAATCTACCATTCCATGTACACTGGAACAAATCCTCTCTCTTCCCTTTGTACTCCAAACAACTTTTTCCCAAGAACTACTACTTTATGAAAAAGATTCCCAAGAGGATGCTTCCCCCAATCATTAAAATCTTAACCTCTTGAAAGGGCGAAGATTAAGCATTATCTATCCTACATATCCTTATAAACTGCACTCTTTACCTCCTCCTTTTCTGTGCATCACCCTCAATCAGTAGTCCTCTACCTTGAGTGATTCTTTGACCAATTGGATTGATATTTGATTACGAGTTAGTGAGTCATGTAAATCAAAATTTTCCTTGGAGAAAGAAAATGGCAGGCATACATTGGTAATTTTGAATCCTTAGCATAAAAATCTTCTGTCTAGGAATATTTGAAATGTTAAGCACTTACATTAAAAGAAATTATTTTTTATAGAAATTGCATTTGCTAAATTCTTTTGGTTTTCTGTATGTTTCATTGTAATCCTGAAAAATTTGTTTTAGCTCAAAATGAGAGATGAGGAACTGTCAGTTTACATTTAAAGCATAAAATTTTTGAAAGACACTAAGAAAAATGGGAACCCTTTAAAAGAAATATCCACCATACAAAATATTTTGAACAAATGCTAATAGCAATATTATCCATTTCCTAATAAGGAAATATTCATTATTCATTGACTGAGCAGCTAGTACTATTTTCCATTGAGATTTATAAGATCTTTCTAAGAAAGCAATTTTTCGTGAAAATAGATGTTATAATGAGCAAATCTGCCAATGTCATACCACTCCTGAAACTAGATATTATAATGTGTACATGGTTGCAAAGGAAAGAACAAACAAGAATAAATGTTTCAACAGTATATATTGACCAATTTTCAGGATATATACATAAATATGTGAAAGGGTGACAAAACTGTTGATATGTGGTTCTTTGCTTGCCATTGGTAAGGAGAGGCAATTAGGTGTAAGGGTGATGGTGGTAAGGCAGGTGGGGGTGATGAACTTGTTGGAGATCATGGTGGTGATGGCTAGAGAGAACTGGAGTGGATTAGTGAAGCCACATGGTAGCATGAGTGGAGCGTTGTTGTTGCTGTTGATCCATCTTCAGGGTTGAAATTGAGTTCTTTATGGTTCTGTAGCACCAGTCCACAAGGTTCAAAGAAAGATGATCCTTGCTAAGACATACAGGTTTTATTCCCTTAAAGCCATTTTTAACCATTGATTTTAGAAAGCCATTATATATAGTTGACAGTCATTTAGGTTTAAAAACTGACATTAAAAATAGTATAAAACCTGCTATTATGAATAATAATTTTTATTTGTCAGGTAAAATACACTTTTTTCAGTGTGACAAACTTATTAATGTACCTACATTGATTTCTGTTTGGTTAATATGCATATGAAAAGAAAAAAAAAAAAAAAATATATATATATATATATATATATATATATATGACATGTTTGTCTGAAAAAAATTACATCTAAATTCACCTTCATGCCTGCTGTGTGCCTATGGCTTGGGGTAAAATCTCCAACTGATACTAAATCAGTTGGGTTTTGATCCTGGCTTGAGGCAATCAGAAGTCTAGCCACACTGATGAGCTGTTAAAGAGTCTGTCTGTGGATGACAATATATATACATGCTCCTGCAAAAATTATTTTGGTTGAGCTCTTTGTGGGAGAAAAGTGAATTTGTAAACAGTGACTATTACTGCTACTAATGCAAGTCTCTTCATCAAGACGAATCGAGTTCTCTGGTCACTGGTGTGTTTGTCTAAAAATAAATACGTCTAAATTCACCTTCACCCTGCCATGCACCAATGGTTTAGGGGTAAAATTTCCAACTGATACCATATCAGTCAAGTTTCGATCCCGGCTTGAGGCAATTGGATATCTAGTCACACTGATTAGCTACGAAACAGTGGAATAGTCTGTCTGTGGATGAATATATATATATATATATATATATATATATATATATATATATAAAGACAAAAGTGTATATATATATATATATATATATATGAGGGACTTTATTAAGGCAAATGTTTGCTTTGATAATGTCTTTCAGGGGATGATGTACATTGCCTAAGGTAAGTTTTTCTTTTGTTTTTATTTATATTGTCCTTTTACAGATATACTTTATCTGAAATGTTTACACACATTTATATATAAATATATATATACCTCATATAGCATGATAAATAAATCTTTTACCCTTATCAGGCAGTGAATTTACTTATTTACCTTTTTAGCAAGTTTAATTTAGACTGGCACAAGGACAACAATAGTGGATCACCCAGTGAAGATCAATGCTCACCACTTGTAATCATTAGGTTAATGTAGATGACTTATACTATTGCTCTACGTCAATGTTGTCTTCTTCATATTAAGACACAAGGCTACAAGTTTGGAGCACTCGGTGAAGATCCAATTCATTACATTAATAATTCTCTTCAAAACAAGTATGCTAACCATGGCTCCATGGTGATGCATCAATTAAATAAGATACAATAAAAAAAAAACATTTCTAAGTCCAGACAAGTTGTTGTTTTGGTTTTTGGCAATTTATCAAATTTAATTTATTTTGCTTTAATTTATTTACTTGCTACTTTGTTCTTTCTGACAAACAGGTCTTTTAATTTTTTTTTTTTTCCATTTCTAATTAAAAGTGTAAGGTTTGCCTTGCTAAAAGATTGTGTTTTTGTGGTTTCTTTCAGTTTTAGTGTTTTATAATAATAATAATAAAAATAAAATAAAAAAAACAAGAAGAAAAATCGATAATTTCAGGTTCTGAAGGAGTCATTAAAATAACAACTTAATAAGTTTTCTCACTTTGAAAATTGTGTGTACTGGTTGGGGATGTGATTGTTATTATTAAATGTCTCCTCATCAGTGAACTTTGCCAAAGCAAATGAAAAGGAAACAAACAAAACTAAATAAGCAAAACCTAGAAAAATAGGTAAATGAATTAATAAGTATATAGATAAATTAATAAATAAATATATAAATAAGGTTTATTACTGGATAATAATGATTGTACTTTTGCAGAAGTTATCTCATGGAGGATGTAATTAAAATTACCTTCCGCACCAGATATTAAAGTCTAATTTAAAACTCTAAAAATATCATTTTGTTAACTGTAAGTGTTACTTATTTTCTGTTAATTTCTGATTAAAAATTTCTGTTTAATTGCAATATCGTAAATATCAAAATATTCTTTTGCGATTTAATTTTTGTTTAGCTTATGAGACATGAAGTTACTGTAAATTTTAATTTTTTACTTTTCATGTATTATATATATATTATATTATAGATATTATGTATAATATACAGTATGTCAAAAACTGTGTGGACACTTAGAATGATTCTTTATACAATGATCATATTTCATACTAAAGTACCCCCAGTACAAGGCTTGACAGCCACACATAATAGTGAGTTACTGTTAAAATGGTCATGATGAATTAGGTGTTTAATACGAGTCAGACGGTAGGTGGTAGAAAGTGAAGATTATGCCAAGGATAGTGTTACAGCAATGCTCCTAGTTTAACTAAAAGCAATGGCAAACAAAATTTACACATGTAATTGACAGATCGTCATTGTTAGTAGAGATGGATAGAAATGGAATAAATTTCAGAATATTTTCATGTCTTTTTATATAACAGTAACAAATGTGAGGAAATACATTGGTATTCATGGAAAATAAAGAAGACATTAAAATTTAGAAAATGTGAGAGAGTGAGGGAGAGCAAATATGTGAGTGAGAGTGTGTGAATGAGTGAGAGAGAGTTTGAATGAGTGAGAGAGAGAGAGTGTTTGTGAATGAGTGAGAGATGGTGTGTGTGAATGAGAGAGTGTGTTAATGATTGTGAGAGAGAGTGTGTGAATGTGTGTGAGAAAGGGAGTGAATGATTTTGAGAGAGAGAGAGAGAGTATGAATGTGAGAGAGAGAATATGAATGTGTGTGAGAAAGAGACTGAGTGACAGAGAGCAAGTGCGGATGAGTGTGAGAGCGAGTGTGAATGAGTGAGAGATAAATCATGAATGAGTGAGAGAGACAGTGTGAATGATTATGAAACAGTGTGTGTGAATTAGTGTGAGAAAGAGAGAGTGTAAATGTGAGAGAGAAAGTGTCAATGAGTGTGAGAGAGGATATCATGAATGAGTGAGAGAGACAGTGTGAATGAGTATGAAACAGTGTGTGTGAATTAGTGTGAGAAAGAGAGAGTGTAAATGTGAGAGAGAAAGTGTCAATGAGTGTGAGAGAGGATATTACTGTGTGAATAAGAGAATATAAATGAGTGAGAGAGAGCAAGTGTGAATGAATGTCAGAGAGAGTGTGAATGAATGTCAGAGAGAGTGCGAATGAGTGTGAGAGAGAATGAGTGATACTTTCATGTTTTTTTTTACATAACTGAGTAAGAAAACAGAGAACATATACTCGTATGCATGTAAAAGAAAGAAAACATTCAAATTTAACAATTATGAATTAACTGTGTGATACACACATATGTGTGTCTGTGTGCGTGTTTGTGTAAGTTCAGTCACTAACGGGAAAGATATCCCTATGCCGAAGACAAGGTCCCATGCCGGTGTTGCTTCTACTCCATACTAGAAGGAAAAGAGAGAAAAATGAAAGAAAACAGGAGTGTCCCATTTTTGATAACTATTTAGCAACACCTTCTGACAGAATCATGGCAAAGCCACAATAGATAACAATTGACCCATGGGTTGAAGAAAAAACACTGCCATAGGTCATTTAATTCTTTTGTTTTTAAATAAAGTTACTTAGTAAGTGGGAAATAATTTTTTATTCATTTTCCTATGCATACCCAGTAAATGGCAACTGAAATATCTATTTCATTTTAAAGCATGCAGATAGGAAAAGCTTTATTCTAATATTAATCCATGCCTTCAATGAAAATAATCCTGACTGAAATGATCCAAAAGCTTTCTTGAACGGGAGAATTAGGCATGTGAATTTATTGCTACCTTTTTGCTCAATCCTTGAACAGTACTTGAATTTGCTGTATACAGATGATAATTTAGACATTTCTGAATGAGTTAGATGTCTTGCATGACATCCACATAACAGTCTAGATCTGACAAAGCTATTTAAGAATATGACTTGAGTTCTTGGATTAATATAGCATCTTTTGGCATTGAACAAAACTCCTCTTATTGCAGAGATATCCACTTTAAAATTTGTGAAGTATGTTTTAAATAATTATTACTTTTTAGACAGAAAGAATATTGCTGCCACATATGGTTCAGTGCTCCTGCTACTTGCCTTAAGCTCCTTTATAAAATCCAAAAAGAATCAGCAATATTTCAGTTCTGATCTGGCAGCTTGGCTTTAGTCACTTTCCTACTGCCTTAAGCTTACCTCGTTGTGCCTTTTCTATAAATACTTTCATGGTAATTGTTTGTATAAGCTCTACACTGGTACCTAGACTTTTTTAATTTAGGCTTGGTACTAGGCTGACATTTGAGATCTCATCAATTTACATTTGAGCTGGCTAGATATAGCTGTAAATTATATATACTAACAGTTTCTTTTCTTGCTTGTGGAACTGCCAGCTCCATGATTTAAAGCCAACTTTAATCTGCAAAAATTTAAATGCAATGTTAATCACTATCTACTGTCCTCCTGATTACTCTTTTCTCTTCCTACTCATTAGTAATGTTTTTTTTTCCTAATTCTTCCTAGTAAACACTTGTGTCTTAGTGGCTTTACTGCCTTGCTTGGGGTGAAAATGATTAAAACAAAAAAAAAATGAAAGAAGCTTGCCTAGTTGTTGCTGGCATAGTTCTTGATTTGATCATGTTTTTGGTCAAAGTGGATTGTCTTCTGTTGCATATTTTCAAGTATATTATAACCTTTTAATTTTACAGTTTGTTGGTTTGTTTAGTGGCTTATTGTTATGGTCCAATATCCTCGCACCCCAGTTATGGTCCAAGGTTAGAATCAAGGAAGAACAACACGAACACAAGAGTAGAATAACAAAGATATATTACAACAGAAATATAGTACAAGAAGTTGAAGGTGTTAGTAATGACTGTCCATCTGGTTTAGAGTGAACTAATATTGTCGTGACTCGTTACACCATTCATTCATTATACCTCTTGAGAGGTGCAGTATTTATAGTGTCAGGAAGAGTCCATTATTGTTATAGGTAAGTTCCCATAACATTTATCAATCACTATGAGTTATCTAATGCCAAAATTTAAATATTTTCTACATAATACATAGTGATACTTACTAATTAACCCATAACTGGGGGTAGAAGAGATGGACCCAAACTTTTACCAAGGGTATTTGTATGTAAGTAAATATAATGAACCCAACTGGAATTAAAACTCAGCTCTCCAATTAACAATTCTGAACCATTATCCATTACACCAACCACACATGCAAGCTTACAGCATCTGGTATTCCCAAGTGATCACCCAGCTAGGTACTGATCAGGCTCAACATTGCTTAACTTCACTGATTGTATGGGAACCAGTTTTCAATGTGATGTGACTGTAGTAAGACTTGCAGTTGTTATTTTGGCATTGTGGATCGACTAGGATATGGCAAGTAAATATGTTTTAAGGGTAACATGCACATTATATTCCAACTGAAGTCATCATAGTATTAGTTTGAGGAACCTTCCAGGTAGATATTCCTGGGCATGATAGACTACATGTGGCAGCAAGGCCTCTGATTGGGAGATTGGAGGCTTTCAAGTGCATGGAACCACCTCTTAATTACTATTTTTCCCAGGTACCTGCTAACCTGGGGTGGTAGCACCTAAAGTGTCCCATCTATGGACATAGTGAGTCCCTAAACAAAAAAGAACACTATGAAAGTGTAAAAAAATATTTTTATAGTAAAAATACCAGCAGTACATTTTATATAACGAAATTAATCAACAATACATTTTATCTGTAGTTAAAGGCATAAAATTTTGTTCAAAATATTTAGATTTAGCATTAAGTAACCAATAGATGTTATATGCCACTAAAAACAACCAACCACACAATCAACATAAAAGTAGTTTCATTAATCCAAATAATATCTTACAATTTCTTAAATCAAACTGTATTCCAAAATATAACTACAACTTAAAACACACATATTGCTGCTTCTAGTAATTATATCTACAGACACATGTACATGCACAAAAGCTGAGTATCACCTACCATGTATTCAATTGTGAAAGCAGAACAACATATATAATATTATTTCAGCCTTAAATAACCCATATTGGTTTGTCAGTAAATAAAATCAACCAACCAAACAGCTAATATGAAAGAACTCTTTCATGACATTAATCCATATAATATCTTACAATTGCTTAAATCTAAGTGTATTCCGAAATATAACTTCAACAAAACTCTAACATAAAACACACATATCACCATCTCTAGTAATTATGTTCACACAGACATGTATATGCACAAAAGATGAGTATCATCTACCATGTATTCAATTGTGAAAGCAGAATAACATATATCATATTTTTATTATTTCAAAGCTTCCAAGAAAGTTAAATGTCAACATTAAATGACTCATAAGGAGTCAATATGCCATAAGGCAAACAAATCAAGAGGTAGAGCAGAAGAAGGAGGCAATACCTTAAAGTCAGTACTTCTTTAAGTTACCTGGCCTCTTCCTTCAGCAGAGTAAACTGGGTTTGCTTGTCTTGACGCAGCAACTAGTCTAGGAAATGGAAAACTATGAATTAAAACCTGGAGGGGCTGTTTGGAGACTTGCTGTTCAAGTATATATATATAACATAAATTGTCAGCATCTATGTTATGTTATGAGCAATCATGACTCTCCCCAAGCATCCCGATGCAACTCCCATTACTCTCTCCTCCTAATGAGTCTTTTAGTCCTCAAGTTCATGAGCAAGCTATAGATGCATATCTTGCGCTAAAGCCTCCATGGCTCTCAGTTTGGCTCACCGGTTAAGTTTTCTGAGGGTAACACTTTCTTTGTAATAATAATAATTGCTCTGGATGCCAAGCCCAGAATTGATTGTTTTCTTTTCTTTTCTTTTGTTGTTCATGTTTTTTTTGTTTTTTTTAACAGAAGTAGATAGGCTTTCCTATCACATGATCAATGCTTCTCCCCGCTTCTCTTGAACAGATGTAGAGGCTCATCCCTTCTCTGGCTTTAGTAGTGGTGCTGTCATAGATCTCTTGTGATGTGTGCATTTTATGGCAATGCCTCTTCATACTGAGGGTACCAGGCTGGCAGTTTTCTGGTTGTCAGGCACCCAAATTCATGCATAGCACCTTGAGTGGCTGCTCTGCTCAACAGTTGCATAATATCAGGGTTTATGCAGTGCCATGTCATGCATGGATGGATGTCCCTGCATTTACCTCTGGTGGGCAACCTTGAGGTTACAGTATGTTGCAGTCTGTGCCAGTTCCTTTCTGCCCATGTTAAATTTGATGACCAACTGCTACTACTACACAAGGGCTTTTCTTTACGAGTATAACTCATCATGACCATAAACAACCAAAGCTATAACAAAATCACCTAAATCCGTTAATGTTTCCTTCTCCAACATCCGTGATATCTCTACCAACATTTGCAGTGTAATATCAATCGACATCTGTTGCCATTGATCCCCATTCTTCTTTTTATTCTTTCTTCAACCCTCTACCCTCCATACCCAGTTTTTTTCCCTTATACTCTCTGTTGCTCCTTGTGTACTAGTGGCACTCCTGTCTTGCTAAAAAAAAAATACACAAAAATAAAAATAAGACTGACATCTCATTTTAAAAGATATATTTACTAAAATCACATAAAAATATCTTGAAAACGTAAAGAGTAAATTTATTCATTAAAATCACCAATAACTTTAACCCCAACCTCCAGACACTTTCAGAACATCCTGCAATTTTTTTGGATGATCTCTTCATTCAAGTTGGTGAATGCTGCCATAATCCTTGCCTTCAGTTCATCTTTGGTTTTACAAGGAGTTTTGTTGATCTCCCACTCAACTGTACCCTACACATAATAATCAAGGAGGGTTGTAGTCTGGGAAGTTAGGTGGCCAGATGTAAGGGGTGATGTGGTTGCAGAAATTGTCTGACAGCCATGACTGAGTTCTCCTCCTTGTGTGGCATGGTGCAGAGTCCTGTTGCTAGATATAGGGTCTTCCATGTTATAGTGCTTTTTCTCACAGGCAGTTCTCAACTGACCCTAATATACTGTACAGTCAGTAAAAAACAAACAACACACATGCGCAAAATTAAAAATATAAAATGTTGAGAATTTAACTATCACACTCTGTATATATATATATATATATATATATATATTTATATATATATATAGTTAAAGGTAAACTAGTGAATTTTACCTTTCCTTCTTGCAAACCTGATGATAGCTGAAGTAAATAACCAAATGTT